CCCCCAACACCCAGCCTTCTGCCCTGCCCCTCCACACACACCCCAGCCCTCTGCCCTGATCTCCGACGTCGCCCCCAACACCCAGCCTTCTGCCCTGCACCCCCACACACCCCCCAGCCCTCTGCCCTGACCTCCCCCCCAACACCCCAGCCTTCTGCCCTGCTCCTCCACACACACCCCAGCCCTCTGCCCTGACTTTGAGTCGCCCCACTCAGCCCAGTGCAGGCCTACGTGAACAGAACCCCAGGCTGGAAGCGGGCTGAGCAGGCTGGCGGTGTAAGATCAGCATTTTAATTTAATTTTAAAGGAAGCTTCTTAAACATTTTGAAAACCTTGTTTACTTTACATAAAACAATAGTTTAGTTATATAATATAGACTTATAGAGAGAGACCGTCCAAAAAACGTTAACATGTATTACCGGCACGCAAAACCTTAAATTAAAGTGAATAAATGAAGACTCGGCACACCACTTCTGAAAGGTTGCCTATCCCTGGTGTAGGCATTTGTCATAACACTTCGGGATTGGAAACGTAGTTTGTATTTATTTTTATACCATTTCTGTTCCTTTCTACATAAAGCTCCACTTTGCAGCAGCCTTGGCTCCTGTGTAATGCTACTGAGTTGCACAGATGAGTTAAGGTTAAAAAATAATGTTTGTCTGCCATTGGGTACCTGGAGAGGCAACTGGTGCCTCTTAAAGGAAACCACAATATCCTTTTGCCAGCTTTCTGACCAAGATCTACAAGTGGCTGGGCCTCTGCTAAACTTCCTTTCTCTCACAAAATTTGAATATGTGAAAGTAATATACGGAATGTTCTGCCCAGATATCTGCTTGAAAGGACATCTAAGCTAATGGAGAGGGAGATGAGGGTCTGAAGAGCTCAAATCTCATCCTTGTCCCCAACTAAATACAGAAGTTAGTTAGCATTACATTTATTATTCTCAGAGAAAAGGAGTCTTAGGTTCTTTTACCCTACAGTTTACAACTGCCTTTCTATTTGGAACTATTGTACGTAGTGGAAGGATATGTTGCAGCAATGGCAATCAGAACCACTGACCTGTCTTGTAAACTGTTTCCACTCAGAATCAGTTGAGTATTTCTTTCTATGAGGCATTCCTAACTATACTTCATGGATATGATAGTTCAAGAACTGAGCTGTCTGGTCTTGGAGAAGAACAATGCAGAGTCTCCTCCGCTTGAGTTTCAGGCAATTTCACTCAGATGAGTGGTGGAGGAGTGGTCTTGGGAGGCCAAATCTGCAAGACGCTAGTCCTAACTGCAGTCATATTTAATTGGTGTCCAGAACATTGAATGATTCCATCTCAAAAACCAAAATAAAATGTGTTTATTTTAGAACAAGCTCCTCTTTCCTCCTCCTAAAAGAGCATTGGAATGTACAAATGATGACATGCTGTTATGCTGTTTTCTTTACAGAAGTTGAAGAAGGAGATTATGTTGATGTCTTACCTTAAATCAGCTGCGACCTGCTTTTTTGTCAGAGGTCACGTCTTATCCTGCCCCCCATCTCAGCAGATCAAATGTAAAAAGCTTGCTCTCAGAACTTATCCTTGCACGTGCCACCACATCTGCTGGCTGGACATTCTCATCAGTGGACTTGTGCCTCCGAAATTCACTCTCCTGGGCAGCTCATCAAAATAACAGACTTGTACTCTTTGGAACACAATACAAGTTATATTTATTATTAGAATAACTTATTTTTATTTTTAATTTGTTATTTTCCTTTTTGCTAACTGAAGTTCTAGCTGCCCCGAACTGCAGCATGTTAGAAAATAATAAGGTAAATATGTTAATTGCATATGGGTAGATCAAATGATAATGGTAGAGCTGAAATCTACTATGATGCAAACTCTATAGACTCTACAGAATGTTAAAACCATGTTTTGTTGTGTTTTCATACTTTGTGCAGGAGACATTCATTTTGCCTCATTTTCAGCTAACTGGATGGTGTATTCAGCTTCAGAATCTTTAATGTCTTGAAGGAATAATATCATCCTGTAGCACTGATACAATCTAAGGCTGCTGACAAAAAAGCATTGACAAGTAACAGCAACTGAAAATAGAGAATATACTATACAGTGTAAATAAATGGCCTGGACTGTTTTCATATCTATAAATGGTATTGTTGAAGACTTACTTTGGGACTGCAAGTTTTACACAGATGCTTTTAGGAACAGTTTAATTTTTTTATATTTAATATTTGTTGCATGTGTTTGACACAGCAAACAAATGGCTGTGTGGTGCCTATATTTCTTTTTTTTAAACAAGAGTTGGCTTTGAAGAATTAAACCAGGGATCTGCTTATTGTACAGCTTTGTTCTGAAGGTCACTGCTTGGGAAAGTAGTGTGTCTAATGGTAACTGCCAGAAAGAGAACTCAGGAATATTGACTGGCAGAACTAAGAACTGAAAATGGATTGTTCTTGACCTCTGGCAAGTCATTTAACCTTGCTGTGTGCGTTCCACATCTGTAAAATGAAGATACAGAGGCACGACAAAGATTGTTTCTTTAATGTTTGTAAAGGGCCTTGAGATGCTCAGGTAACATGCCATAGAATTGTGAAGTATGACTATTGGCTCATTGTAAATTTAAAGTGCTGGTGATTCCATATGTTGGAATCAGAGGGTATTTGCAGTGTTGTGCTACAAACAGGTGTTTAAATTAACCCTTAGATTTAAGATTAGTGTAGACAGCCAAAACATTGATTTGTCTGAGAAAGTAAGTGGTTGCCCAAGGGGAGAAAAAACTGTTCCGTATTGTAGGGAAAATCTTACTTAAAGAAATATAGGGATTAATGCTTTTATATTAGTAGAGCTCCAGCAGCCTGCTCCACATTCTATCATCTGACTGCTGTAGCACGTCAGTGTAGACACTCACTACAGCAACAGGAAGGATTTTCCTATCACTGTAGTTAATCCACATCCAGGAGAAGCAGTAGCTTGGTTGGCAGAAGAATTCTCCCATCAACCTAGCGCCAGGGATTAGGTCATCTTGTAGGCCAAAAGCCTAGTGGGAAGAAATTGTTTCAAGTAAAATTGTACTTTATTTTGCCAGCTTTAAATTAGTAAAAAAAAAAAAAAATTTTTAGCCTCAAATTAAAACCACTAGCCCAAATTGTAGCCTTGAATTAGTAAGAAGAAATTGTTCTGAATTTATTCTTTACTAATTGGGTTTAATAATTGTTTTTAGAAGGATAGAAATTTTATGGTTGTAATTGCCTTATTTACAGTTTGGTGTAAGTGAAGAATGGATGGTAATTAACTAAGAAAGAACAGCCAGCTAGGTCAGATGGTCAAGAAGGAAGTGGAGGAGTCAAGAGGCACCAACTTTCACCCAGATGGCAAATTAACGACCCTAAAGCAAAGGCATACACCCCAAGAACAAGATAAAGAGTGAAGCCAGAGGGACGAGATAAGAAACAGCTGGGAATAACTCCCAGTAACAACCCAAATAATGCTAATTAAAGCAACCTTGAACAGCTCCGGTGTAACACCGCAAGGTCCAAAGACTTGTATGGGAACTTATTACTATAAAAAAGGGTATATTGCCGTGGGACTTTGGGTTCATTCTGCATCAACATCGGAGCTTTGAACACGCTCGACAGAGTCCAGCTCCCTCTCCCTTGTGTGCAGTTTCAGCTGGCCACTGGAAGTGACAGAGCAACACTAAGGACTGGTAACTATAAGATCCAGCTGCAGAATCTTTTTTTTTTGGTGGGGGAGTGGTAAATGGAAGCATATACTAAATTTAATGCTTGAACTGTACTCTCAATAAATGCGGCGTATTGCCTTATCCCCTTTTTTAAAATTCCGCGTGCTTCTTATAAGCATAACAATCTTAACTATGTCACTCGGAAGTGTGGATTTTTCACTCCCCTGAGTGACGTAACTGAGTTGACCTAACTTTTTAGTATAGACCCCACTTAAGAGCCCGCAGTGTTCAGGTTCCCAGATTACAGTATGGTACCTCATTGGACTAAGCTCCACAAGAAGCTGTGTTCAGTTCTCCATGGCCTGAAGAATAGGTGAGCCAATTACATATCCTTTGGAAGAACATGTGAGAGAACGAGGGACTCGATCCTGTGAAGTTGGAAGTAATAAGTGCAGTAGATGTCAGTAGAAGCACAGAGCAGTCAGCACTTTGCAGGATAGGCACTAAAAGAGGGGAACAGTGAAGGACTATGAAGATAAACTGAGCCAAAATACCCACCTGTACCTATATAGGACTCGTTGGAATATGCAGTAGTTGCTCTTTGGACAGTGTGTGAGATTATTGGCGGGGGGAGGAATACAAGTCAGATGTCTTATTTGTCATTAAAATCGTGACATGTTTCTAGATAATTCATAGGCCTTGAGCATCAGGAAAATGGTCTCAAGTTTCTAATACCTGCATGCAAGAGATCAAGGCCTGACCATGGTCTGTGTTATGCAGGAGATCCGACTAGATGATAACAATGGCCTGAAATAATGAGTGGGGTATTAACTGTATAAAGGTTTCAGGGAAAGCTCATGACTGTATATATAAGAGGCAGCTTTATGCCAGTATCCTAGGCAGGTATTGCATTACATGTATGTTTTAAAAAACAAAACAGCAAAAGACCATCCATTTTTCTTGCAAATGATCTGAATGAAGTTCACTAAGTTAGCTCACTAACTTCACTCCTGCAGAAATCTTTGCTAGGTGTTTTCTAATTAACATATTAGGTCAACACAGGCCATATACACTGAATGAGTAAAACATTGCTGAAAATCAGATTTAATTCTGGGAAAGACTCTAACTTGAAAGCTACAGAGAATGAGTCACTCCCCTTTCTTGACTTTTAAATAGCCTTAGAAACAGTACAGCACAGGAAACCACAAACTTCTCTCTCTCCTCTCCAATGTACTTTAACTGTAACTTGGAGGGGCCCTTGTGAATCAAAATTATAGTTTGGCTAAAAGTTGAACAGGAAATCAATGTTGAGACTTTCAGTGGAACCAGTCACTATCAATGAAGTGATGTTGTTTTTCTGAGATAAACACTTATTCTCTAGACCAGAGCTGATCATGTCATTTCACCCAGACTACTGAACAACTTTAGGATGGTAATGACTGTTGGTCACTACCAACCTGGGCTGGATTTGAATAGGTGACCTAGAGATGAAGGGCTTTTGTATGTTCTTCTATTATCCGTGCTTAAGGACCCAGCAAAAAATATTGCTACAGCTTGAGCTAGTTAGCTGAGGGATGCAGATTTCAGCCCTGTCTGAGGGAAAAACCTTGCTGATTTCATTGTATGCCTGCCCTGCCTGTCTGCCTCCCAGGGAAGAGCAAGCGATCAGAACTGCTGGAGGAAGGAGGGAAAAGATCTGCCTGGCTCCTCTCAGGAGCCAAAGTGGCTCTCACAGGAAGGGAGAGAGGGGAGCAGAAATAGCCCAGCCACTTAGGATGGCTCTGCTCCCTCCTCCCATCCTGTGAGCAAGAGGATGGCTCTGCTGCTTCCCTCCCCTCCCTGCTGAACCCAGCCTGGAAGAGGTACTGGGGTATGACAATACTTTGTAGCTGTAGCTCCCGCCTGGGCACTCACAAACAGACAAACAGCAGGCAGGTCACACCCTGGGAGTCTGTGTATAGCTGTAGCCTGCCAGCCACATGTTAGTCTCACTCTGGCTTTCACCAGCTTTGATTACTACTTGCAGAGTGATCCCAACATACTCCCAGTCCTGAATTTTCTCCCAAAACATGTATTCTGCAGTCCAGCCCTCTCCTTGCCAGTCCAGATATATTAGGTCTGGTGCCCCACTTAGGGGATCAGTATACAACAGTTTGCTACCCTAACTGGAGTTACCCACACAATTCAGTTTAAAAACAACACTGGATTAGTTTTGATTAAAGAATAAAAAAGTTTATTTAATTACACAGAGGTTTAAGTGAATACAAGTATAAGACATTAAAGTCTGAAATGGTTACAAAAGAAATAAAGAGAAAACTCTTCCTAGTACTAAAACTTAGCAAATTGGATTTGGTTCAAGGTAAAATCTCTTACCACATGTTCCCAGTAACACGGCTGATCAAATTCTCAGGCCAGGATCTCCCCCAGTCCAGAGGCTGTTTTTTTTTTTATTCATCTTGGATGAAGGGGAGAGAGAGAGATGGACGGGGAAAGATAACTATGGGTGTTTTTGCCCCTCACTTTTATAATTCGGTCACCCTTTGAAATGCATTTTCCTGATAAAGTTCCTTCCCGCTGTGAGGTCAGCAGCAAGCTGTCTTGTGGTGAAAGAGGTTTCATGCTGTTGTTAGATAAGATGTAGATCTGTTTGTTCCCCTTCCCTTTGCCAAAAAATGGCCACTTGACAGGTGATGGCCCATCAGCTTTGATGACACCTGGCTAGAGGTGTCAGTTTGTCCTTTGTCTTTGAGAACCGGGTTTACCCACTCCTCAGACTTGTCTGATAAACATACTACAGTCATGAGTTCAGTGCATGTTCAGTGCATAACTTTACATCTAATGTTGCTATATACATCTCACCATATTATTGACCAGCACCTTTAGTTTTTCAAATGATATCTCAAAAGGCATATTTTCACAAAGATTAGTACAATAGTGTATAGGGTGTGAAAACAGGTGTTTTCTGTCACAAGGGGATCCTGCTGCAGCCCACATAGGCCTGGGAGAGGGGTGGACGAGCCCCAGGAGAAGCAGAGGTGGAGAACGCAGAATTGAGGTGGGGCTGGAGGGGGGTAGAACAGATTTCACTTTCATTGCCAGACTGCATCAAATTGATGGCCATCTACTCCAGTACACTGCCCCTTATAGTGTTCAGTATCAGATGCTTCAGAGTAAGGTATAAGAACCCCACAGTAGGCAGATGTAATGCATTTTAAGTGAGGATTAAAAATATGACAAGATTCAGTGCTGACCGGTTTAAAAACAGCTAAATTGCTTGGAGTCAACCTTAAGGACAACCCAAGATCTTTTGAAAACTGTTTGTAGACATAGGAACTAGCAGTTATTTGTGGTGATTACTTAGCCCATACTGTTTGATAGTCTAATGACCCAATGTGGAATATAACGTAAGATAGAGTTCAAGTGAAAGATGATAGTGGAGGGAGCTCTGAGTGTTGTGCTAATTTCTTCAGCCTCCAAAAGGATTTCTGATTTCAATTTCTTAAGTATTTCTAACTCAGTAATCAAAGTGAGAACACCAGGTGTGTACATAAAGTAAATTAGAATCTAAAATTAGTGATGTCTTTCCTAATGAGGAACAGTTTAGAGATGATTAACTGTTTCATAATGACACCATCTGATCCTTCCTTGTAAGCCTCTCTCTCTTACGGAGCATTCAGCAAGCCTACAGTTGTGGGACAATATAGGGCAGGGCCAGAACATTTTGTCTGCAGCTGAACTGCAGAGCTGGTGAGTTTCCGCAACAGCAACTGAACATAATTAAGAGATCATCCCAAAATAAATCTTTTAAATGGTTTAACAAATGTTCCATGTTGGATTAAACTACACTATCATTTTCACTGGAAAGGCTTTTGATGCCAGAGGTGAACTCTTCCATGTGCAGCTCAAGCAGGGCCTGGAACCTATCAAGGATTTATTAGCTTTTTCTTGAGGGATTCCGGCAAACTATCACCTGTATTCCACACAAACTATTAAAAGTGTTAGGTAGAAAATTCAAGCATGCAAAGATTAGCAAATGATATATTTACAGTTGCCTGTGCAATCTTAATTCTGCTCCCCTTATGGATTCATCTGTGCACTGAATGAGGCAGGGGTGTAGTGGGGAAAAAGTATATAATCATGTAACTAAAGGCTATATCACACTATGTATATGCAGGTGAAAATAAGTTTGCACTTGCAGTTCCTAATTTTTGAGTACTTGACTCTGAAACATGTTTATTATTTCTGTGTTATTTGCTTTTTTATAAAAAAGGTGTGTGTGTATGTATATATATGTGTATATATATTAAACTTTAATAAATAATTTCTCCCTATGAATCATAGCAGGGTTTGAGCCTTAAACCTTCACTATTCTAGTACAGATTGCTATCATGTGAGCTAAAGGGTTAACAAAATCATTTAATCCAAAGAGAAGGCTGTTTTTTCTAGAGGGTGGGACAGGAGGGATGGGTTACTATATTGAGAAAATTGTAGGGGGTGAAACCCAGGGCAGCCTGTTTTCCACTGTCTTCCGCCCCTTGATTTAAATCAGGAGAGGTCCTGTCCCTCGTATTAACTGAGCTCTCCCCCTTCTGGCCTAATGTGTTACCTATACCTTTCCTGTTACCACCCACTCTCCTGCCTATCACATTTTCCCTATGTTGGTGGAAATCCACGGGCTCACTCTACTGTGCCATACATTTGAAGGACATAAAGTGTCAAGAAGTCATAGCTTTTATTGGACCAACTTCTATTGGTGAAAGAGACACGCTTTCATGCTCTCACAACGCAGAAGATGACATAAAGAAGAGCTGTGTGTGGCTTGAAAGTTTCTCTCACCAACAGCAGCTGGTCCAATAAAAGATATTACTTCACCCACCTTGTACTTCTAATATGCTGGGACCAACACATCAACATCTCTGCACACAGAAAGCATTGTGCTGGTTTTCAGATGCCTACAGCCCACAATGTTTTCATCACGATGCAAAATTATACCGTGGTCTCCCTGCGCGGGATACTTTCACGTGCCATAGAGCGGGTGTCATGTTAACTTGCCAGGGCAGGTGGCCCAAGCTAGGGGCCAGGAACACTTAGCACTCATGTAGCCTGCACAGCCCATAGGCAGCATCCTGCCCTGTTAGGTGGCTGGGCAGCACCAAGGACACACTGGGTCACTTGCAGTGTCATGGCAATGGGGGCTAGGGACACTGTGGCTCCAGGGGTGCAGCAGGCAGGCAGATGCACCCTCCCCCCATGTGGGTGGAGCAGAGGGCGTTGCACTGAGGCACGCCCAGCTCGCAGCGACCCTGCTCCCTCCCGTCGGTGCGGGAACTAGGGGTGCTGCTGCCCCCTGCGGCTGGAAGTGGTTCCCATCACATATAGGGTTACCATCCGTCCCGGTTTCCCCAGACATGTCCGGCTTTTTCAGCTTTAAATGGCCGTCCGGGGGGGATTTCTAATAAAATAGAAATGTCCGGGATTTCCCCCTTCCCCTCAGGCAGAGTGCGGCACAGCTGATTGGACGGCTAGGCCTGATTGAAAGCTGCTCGCAGTCACTGGGGCCTCTAGCAGCCAGAGTCCCTCCTCCTCCCCAGCAGAGCAGCACCAGTGTTTAGCTGCAACTGGAGCTTGCAGCTCTCCCTCGGCCTGGGGGGGCAGGCAAGGGACAGGGAACAGGAGGTTAGATTGGTCGGGGGTTCTGGGGGGGGCTGTCGGGAGAAGGGGGTGTAGAGAGTGGTTGGGGCAGTCAGGGGACAGGGAGCAGGGAGACTTAGATAGGGGGTGGGGTCCTGGGGGCAGTTAGGGTGGGGGGGTCTCAGGAGAGGGCAGTCAGGGGACAGGTAGAGGAGGGTGGGAAGTGGGAGGGGCTAGGGCAGCACCCCGTGTCCTCTCTTTTGCTTGTTGAAATATGGTAACCCTAATCACGTACAGGGTTTAGTTTGGTTCAATGGCTCTCAGCACCCCCCATACACATTGTTCCAGCCCCACTGCTAGCCAGGCACTGGACCGGCCACTCCCCCTGCAGCCCCATAGGGACAAAGCACCCAGCGGCTGCCTGGTCTCCCCGCGTTGGGAGCGAACCCCCACAGAGCGATGGCGGGCGCCCCAAGCACCGAACGAAGTAGAGCCCCACAGAGCGATGGCGGACAGCACGCTCACTGGGCTTCCGTCACGCACCGGGGCGAAGGTCTCTCCACAGAGCAATGGCGGCCTCACTTCCAACAGACAGTACCCCGGGCATGGGAAGCGTGCAGGCCGACGCTATCTCCACAGAGCTATGGCGGCCGCCGTTCCCAGCATGCACCTGCAGGAAACTGACTCCGCCCCGCCCGCTGGGCCGAGCTCCCAGGGTGCCCGCACACGGCCCCCCGCCCACGGTGCCATGGCGACCGTCTCAGCTAGCGCCGGTCCCGTCATGCACCGCGCGGGGGTTCCGGGTTCGGACGCTCTCGGAGCTAAGATGGCGGAGCGGGCGCCAAATACGATTGCGAGCCAGCTGCGCCCGTGAGGCGCCGGGTGGGGCGGCGGCGGCATGGACGCCTCGGCCTGTATGAAGTCCCTGCTGCTGGCCGCCGCCCAGTACCGGGCCGCCAAGAGCCCGCCCCACGCGGCGCAGCTGCAGCGCAGTCTGGAGGTGAGCGCGCGCGGTCGGCCCGGGGCCCCCGGGAGAGACGGGGCCGGGAACCGCGCAGCTCCCTGCCTCACACCTTGTCGGGCTGGGGGCTCCTCACTCGCCGCGCTGGTCTCTCTCTGCTCGGGGTGAATAACTCTGGGTCCCACAGTATTGAGTGGGTGTTTTCTTAAAGCCCCAGCTCCGGGAGTCCCGGGATCGGGGGGGGGCGTGTCACTTTTTAAAAAAATCCGTGTTAAGCTTGGAAACGTGACTCAGGTGCATTAAACCCGCCCGCCCTGTGTGTGGCCCCCGGGTAGCAAAACGAGCCCCCCCAATCTGTGCTGCCTCTTAAATCTCTCCCTCTTCAGTCAGCGAAGTCCACCTCGTGGTGTCTTTAAGCTTGTTTTTTTTTTTTATTGGGTTGGCAAAGCTGCAGCGGCAGCCCCATCACGTTCCTGGGGTCTTGCACCCTGTGTTTTTGTTTATTTAGTCGCTTTGATCCCCTTCTCTCCCCATCCTTGCCTTTTGTTGTTGTTGAATTAATTTGAAGCTGCAATTGGATTGCAAATATGTTTACAGAGGAGATTAGCTCAATTCAGTCAGGCTGTTCGTGCCCCTGCATGGACCATTGAGCGCCTGGTCTGATTGCCCCCTACCTCTATAGAGTCTCTTCCCGTGTTTGCTGCTGGTTCTTGTTAAAGAAATCATTGTCTTTAAAATCGCACTTCTCCTTGGAAATATTGTTGTTTCCTGTTGTTTCTGGGGACACAACTTGGCCTATAGCTGTAACTGACATGATTAGAGAGAAACTTTTTTTCTATATCTAGTTAACTACTTTTTGAGTATGATCAGTTTTATAGCTTTCACTGAGTAGTAAGTCAATTTGCCCTGTTCTTCCTTTGGACCTTTCATACAGGCATAGAGTAAAGGAAAACACTAAAAAAAATATGCATTTATAAAACAAAACAATGAAAACTGTCAGGGAGCCTAAAAGGCAGGTATACACTTGAGACTCTTTAATTTATTAAATTTGTCTAAGCTTCGGGATGATTGTGTCTGTAGAAGATATGCTAATACTTTCTTGCTGTCATTTAATAATAGTATTTTGCATTTATGTAGTCTCTTAAGGACTCCAAAGCACTTCTTAGTTTGATCTACAGATTATACACTGGGGTCATTTCATAACTAAAATTGTAAATATTAACAAACAAATTAGTGGGGTGAGACTTGAATGAAGCAATTTCCTATTTTATAACATATGTATTTACAGTTAAAGCCTCCCTTCCCCAACCCTGTGGATAGGATTAAAAAAAAAATCCAAATACATGTTAAAACTAGGGCTGTCAAGGGACATTGTACTGTTGTAGCCGGCATTACAAGATATTTACATGTCAGATGTGCTAAAGATTCATAACCCTTCATGCTTCAACCACCATTCCAGAGGACATGAGTCCATGCTGATGATGGGTTCTGCTCAATAACAATCCAAAGCAGTGCGGACCGACGCATGTTCATTTTCATAATCTGAGTCAGATGTCACCAGCAGAAGGTTGATTTTCTTTTTTGGTGGTTCAGGTTCTGTAGTTTCCGCATTGGAGTGTTGCTCTTTTAAGACTTCTGAAAGCATGCTCTCCACACCTAGTCCCTCTCAGATTTTGGAAGGCACTTCAGATTCTTAAACTTTGGGTCGAGTGCCGTAGCTATCTTTAGAAATCAAACATTGGTACCTTCTTTGCATTTTGTGAAATCTGCAGTGAAAGTGTTCTTAAAATGAACAACGTTCTGGGTCATCATTCGAGACTCCTATAACATGAAATATATGGCAGAATGCGGGTAAAACAGAGCAGGGGACATATCTTACCAAAGGAGATCAATCACAAATTTAATTAACAAATTTAATTCCATGCCGAGCATCATCAGCATGGAAGCATGTCATCTGGAATGGTGGCTGAAGCATGAAGGGGTATACTAATGTTTAGCATATCTGACATGTAAATACCTTGCAATGCCAGCTCCAAAATTGCCATGCAAATGTCTGTTCTCACTTTCTGGTGATCTTGTAATTAAGAAGAGGGCAGCATCATCTCCCATAAATGTAACAAACTTGCTTGTCTGAGCGATTGACTGAACAAGAAGTAGGACTTGTAGGTGCTAAAATTTTACATTGTTTTGGTTTTGAGTGCAGTTATGTAACAAAAAAATCTACATTTGTAAGTTGTACTTTCATGATAAAGAGATTGCACTACAGGACTTGTATGAGGTGAATTGAAAAATACTATTTTATCATGTTTACAGTGCAAATATTTGTAATAAAAAATATACACTTTGAATTCATTTACGACACAGATTACAATATATATGAAAATGTAGAAAAACATCCAAAATATTTAATAAATTTCTATTGGTATTCTATGTTGAATAGTACAATTAAAACTGTGATTAATCAGGATTAATTTTTTGACTTAATTGTGTGAGTTAACTGCAATTAATTGACAGTCCCAGTTAAAACCCTAATCAACCTTGTTTTCCCAAAATGCACTTGACAGTCTACTGGTGCGAGTTATGAGTGGTACATGAATGTTTTGCAACTGAAATTGTCAGTTGCATAACTTTCAAAATATGCTCAAATGCAGATAATTTAATGTTTTAATGAGTATGTCTGTAAATCTTTCTTGTTCATTTTTGTTCTTCATTGTCTATAGCAACCAACTGTAGACATAACTGCTGTAACTTTTTTGGTTGTCTATTGTATAAACTAGTTGTAGCAAACTATTCCATGGTATAAGTTGTAAAGTTAAAATGAGATTAATTCCAGCGTATTTTAGTGAATTTGACGGTTCTACATTAAAGAAAACAAGTCATTCTTTGGCACCTCCTCATTTGGAGTTGAAGAAACAGAGTTCAGTCTTTCCTGCCTTGGTTCTTTAATGCAACAGATTAGCAGACTGTTGTTTGTGAATGATATTTCATATCTTTGTATAGAATAATGCCTTTTTATTGAAATTCTGTGTCTTACTGTGAATTAATCTATCATATTTAATTGGGAACTAGTTTTCAAACCTTCTGTTCAAACAATACATTTCCAGGCTATGTAAAACCAATATTTTTTTTTATCATAAAAGATGCATAAACTGATGGGTAACTTACCTGGTGCTGTATGTTTCTCATGTACAAATACAGACTTGTAGTATTTTTGTATTTATAAACTAGTAATGATTTGTGTTCACGCAGCAGCTGTTAACTTAAAATCAATTCCCAGTGGTATAATTGGTAGTGCTGTACACAAAATAATCCAACTGTTAATTATGAGTCTGAAACATTAATATTTTACTGTATCATATAATATTTTCAAATATTAAGGACACACATACAGTAGTGAAAAACATATTTCCAGAGTTCTACAAATTCAACAAAAGTGAGCTTAAAGAGGCAAGCGAAAGTATCCATGTGCTGTCAATGATGCCACTGGTGTTGGCAGTATATTGTATTGAACTGAAAATACGACTCCCCTCTGAATCTTCTGCTGAACTGAGACAAATACTGTTGCAGTTATATAATACTTATTTAATTTAAAATGTCTTTTTAGGTTATCTCTGGATTGAAGCTAACAAGATTGTTTGCATCAAACCAAATACTGCCAAGTGAATGTCTCAGCTGTCTAGTAGAGCTCATTGAGGACCCAAATATAAGTCCATGTCTAATCCTGTCTGTGATTACTTTGCTGTCACAACTAGGTAACTTGTTCACATCTTTAACTTTTCTCTTAGGGGAATTAAGGCTAAATTTTTAAAGATTTTTAATAAGTCTTAAAACAGTTGGAATCAGTGACAGGTTGCATGCGCAATTGAGTTATTTGCTATATTATTTGTATATTATCTGTGTAAATTGCATTGATTTGAGGGATGGGAAATAATTAACTCTGTACTATAACAAAATTAATAAGTATTTAGTTTTCTTGCATTCTGTGGGAGCACAGAAATTGCCAAATTGAATCAGAAAAAAAATATCCATCTGGTTTAGTATTGTCTCTAATATGGCCCGTACCAGATGCTTCGGAGAATTATGTAAAAGCTCCTGTGCTTGACAGCTATCTAATATACCCATAGGAGAAGTTTGTTCCTAAATCCATATAGTTAGTGGTTGTCTTAGGTTCCAAAGCATGAGGGTTTCTCTCTCTCTCTCTCTCCAACCTAGCTTGTGTAACTGATGAATGACACTTGCAGTATTCATTTTCTTTGACAGCTGCTTTCCCTTTGAGATTCTTCCACAGTTGCAGTTAGCAGAAGTGTCAGAGGTATAAAAGAGAGGGCTGCTGGCAGGGCATTTGTTACGGGACTGCACATTTGGAACTTGCTTCTGCTCTTTAACGGACTCAGGCTGATTCAAGCCAGTCTCCAGGGCATGCTTGAAGGATGATCTTTTCTTTCTGGCATTTAGCCCATAAAAGTTGGGAAATGAATGAGGTTGCAGAGAATTTGAAGGGGGCTGGTCTTCTTAGGTTTATTACATTTGGTTGTATGTTGGTATAATATGGGGTAGTTGGAGTCTGTTGGTTTGTTTTTGGTTTTTTTTGTAAGGATTTTTATGGGTTCCTAGAGCTTGAAACTTTTTTTTAAATGTGTAGCAGTAACCTAGATAAAATGCCTGTTTTAAGCTTATTAAGTTATTTTCTGTGTCTTGTGATCTGAGGGTGATGGGTCATGGTTAGAGGTAGACTTGACACTGGATAGTTTGTAAAGGCAGTGATC